GACAGTTTTTATGCTGTGCTGGCGTTAAGTTGCTGCAATACCCTGAGCGCCACAATTTCTGAGAGATGGATGATTTGAAGGAGAAGAGTAATGACGAATGTCACAGCTGTCATAAACACTGCACTTCACTGGTGCCCTTCAGTAACTTACCTGAGTGTTGAAAAAGAAAAGGAGGCATCCAGGTTTGGCAAATGTGATTGAGGGATCTGAGTTACTGAAGGTCTGATGTCTATCTGTAGCTTTGCTTATCTCCATGGTGAATGTAATTGTGGTGGAAAACTACCAGAAGAGTAACTTTAATGAAGCCAAGTCTGCAGTAGGAGTAAAACACATGGATTATGAAAGAAAAATTCCATTCAAACTGTTCTTTAGTGCTCTAATCCCTGAATGTATTCTCATCTCATCAGTTTAAAACAGTTTCCCATGTAAACTGAGATCCTGACTTTTCTTAATGCTAAGCCTTGAATTCAGTTTCTGCTGTTGCATAACCAGTTTGTGTCCCTTGTTGCTTCTGCACATTGGATGCTCTCAAACTCTTCTCTGGTGGACTCCTGGAGAAAGCTTAAATTGGGATAAAATGTATTATAGTCTGGGAATGTTTCTTTTAATTTTCTTTTGTCATTAAGAAAATAGGAGAGCTTCTTGTTTCTGCTTACCTGAAAATTTCCTTTCTGCGGATGGGTACAAAGGTCGTTCCCCTTTACAGCTGCTCTGCAGCAGGATGGCAATGCCCTAATACATGCAGATCTTCCAGCAGCACCAGATTTCCATTTCCAGATACATGAATTATTTGGGAAATATAAAGGTTATGTTAAGCTTATTTGGAAGGGTAAACATCTTCTTTCCTCTTTGTCCTCCACTCCCCCAGTTTTGCCTTTCGCATTGAAACAAGAGACCTGTGTCCTTGGATGTTGATTTGCTCTCTTTTGGACAAGATTTACCCCAGAATGAACTATTTTATCAATTTGTTTGAATAAAGGACACATCCATGAAAGTGGGTATTCAAAGGTGCACAGCCCAGCATGATGGAATTTTCATGGCAGTCTACTCAGTGTTGGGATGCAGGATCAGGGGAGAGGATTCCCTCCTCTCCTTCCTCCTCTCTACTTTATTTTTTTTATCTTTCAGTCCTTCTCAGCATAAATATCTTATGTCCTTGGTTTCCTCCTCAAGATTAGGGCGTGGAGACACATTTTTTTCAAAGACAATTTTTTTTTCCTGAGAATCTTTTGTGGGGAGAGGGTCCCTCTGTGGGTAGCTAATGCTGGGGGGCTCAGCTGGAGGCTTTTCCCTCTGACTGACTAAAGCTGTTTGCTCACACATTGAAGCAGAGTGGTGCAAATTGATGGTTTAAATCCAAAGGGGCTGGCCAGGAGTCTCACAGGTAACTCTGAGATAAATGAGCTACTGAGCCCAGCTCCTTTCACTAGTGACCTGTCATCTGCAGTGGGGCTTTTCTCCTGCCAGGCAGCTCCAGTTCACTCTGCAACCTGCATCCATTTCCTCGTGTCTCCAGGGATGGTGGCCATTTTAATCCTCTTTGTGAAGGTTCAGAAAAGGCTTGGTGTGCCAGAAAGCTTCTTGCTGTACCCAAGGCTTTGAGGTTGAAAGATGCTGTGCTGTTTACCCCCAGGACAGCCTCTTGGAGAAGGGCAGGTTTGGCCTTTGCTATCCCTGCTTCCTTCACAGCAGGTGAGGAGCTGTGGGGGTCACAGAGGGCAAGCTGGATATAGCCTGAGGATCCCCCTTAGCAAAGAGGGACTGAGGGTGGTGGCTGTGGCCATTCCTTTGCTGCAGGTGATTTAGGCTGTCAGGGGCTGTGTCACAGAAACAGCTGAGCTTGTTTTCAGTGCTGACCTTGAAGGCTGCAGGCAGGCAATGCAGACACACGTGTGCACAGGGCAGGCAGCAGGGAAAGGCTCAAAGCAAGGGCAGGGCTGACAGGAGCCATTTGCCCTGCCTTTCTTTACTGGTCCAGATGTGGATTATTGTCCTGTACTGACTGGCTGCTCACAGGTAATGGTCAGGCACAGCCATCTCCAGCAGAAAGCAGGAAGGCTAATCTGCCCTGGGAGAAGGATGTCTGCAATTCCAGCTGGGGATGACAGCCTGTTGTGGCCTTAGTCACACGTGGCTGCTAGGAAACCTCTGCTCTTGTATTACACCTTCCCAGCTCACACAGTTGAGACTTTCATGACTTCTAGAGGACATCAAGCATGGTGTTATAGTTGGAAAGCAGGGTGGTTTGGATTGTTCTGATGGCATTTGGCTTGTCCTTCACCCCAACAGGTAGGAAAGCTGCTTCTTTCCTGCCTTAGTCCTCTGAGAAATATTTCTGGGATTTTCCTCACTCCTCTCCTACACTTCCTTCTGCAAAGGTGAGTGGAGGAAACAGCAGTTTATTACCTCCTCACAATTATTTCCTAATAATCTTTCTTCCTGGTGTCAAGGAAGGAAACAAATTCAAGGCACAAAACTTTGAAGAAACTCTCAATCACTGGGCTGTGGGGGCCCCTCTGCTTGCAGTGTTGCAGGACCTCTGCGTGTTTGTTGATGACACCAAGCTGACAGCTGGAATGCTGGAGGGAAGGGATGCTATCCACAGCCACCTCTCAGGGTCTCCAGGCCTCAGCCAATGTGAACCTCACCAAGTTCACACAAGGCCAAGTGCAAGGTTCTGCACCTGGGCTGGGACAATCCCCAGGATCAGTACAGACTGGGTACTGCAGGAATCCAGAGCAGCCCTGTGGAGACAGACAGGGGGAATAAAAAATAGTGCATAAAAAAATGGATTTGAACTGGCATTGTGCTCTTGCAGCCTGGAAAGCAAATCGTATCCTGGGCTGCACCAAAAGCAGCATGGCCAGCAGGGTGAAGGGGGGGATTCTGTCCCTGGGCTCTACTCTGATGAGACCCCATCCAGAGTGCTGCATCCAGCTCAGGGGTCACTGGCACAGAAAGGACATGGACCTTCTGGGGAAGAGTCCATAGGAGGGCCAGGACTATGATCAGAGGGCTGGCTATGAAGACAGACTGAGAGAGTTGGGGCTGTTCAGCCTGAAGAAAAGAAGGCTCTGGGAAGACCCTTTTGTCTTTCAATATATTAAAGACGGCTGAAAAATGTGGAGAGAGACTTTTTACTAGAACCTGTAGTAACAGGACAAGAGGGAACCATTTTAGATTAAAAGAGAGTAGAATTAGTTGTGTTATAAGGAATAAACTTGAGGCTGCAAAAGTTAGAAACAAGAGAGGATGATGAGTGCAGGGAAACAGCTGGGTGAGGGGCTGAAAGAATGTGACCTATATTCAGCACCTACATTTTGACTCTCCATGTAAAACACATTAAAATCGCTCCTGCTAACAGGAAAGGGACCCAAGATGTTTGTACTGTGAGGGACCCAGGTGTCCAAGGGAAGAACACCACAGCAATAGTCCACAGCGGAGCTCTGTGCACCATTTTCCAAAGACTTAAATACCTTGCAGCAAATAAGGCCTCTACCACAGACACAAGGAATAGAGACAAGCAGAAAAAAAAAAAAAGTCAATGCTCCCAAGAAGATTATGAAATACCTTGCAGCAAATGAGGCCTCTACCACAGACACAAGGAATAAAAAGACAAGCAGAAAAAAAAAAAGTCAATGCTCCCAAGAAGATTATTGCTTTTACACAGCAATGCCAGGCAAGCATCCAAAAATGAATGGGACAGAGTAAGAAGCCCTGAGACTAAAATTCACATTGTGCATGTATTTAATGACCGATTTAAATTTATGCATTCTTACTTGCAACATTTTCTAAGCTTTTGAATTTGTCACTTCAAGGTGCTTCTTTTCTGTTGTTTGTGTAAGTTAATAACAGTGTGTCATTGTGTAACTAAGCCTGCTTTCAAACTGTGCAAGGTGCAGAGGTAGCACAGAACAGGAGTGCAAGCAGAGATGCCCAACAAGTGGTCAGCTGCGGCTTTAGCTGCATGCCAGACATCCCTGGAACAGACTTTGCAGCTGATTACAGCATACCAGAGAAGGTCTGTGCTTTGGCAAAGAGCTAGAAATCAAAGTCCTAATTTCCTGACTCTGTGATGACTGTGAGTCACAGCCAGTTTGGAAAAACTCTATTCCTGTCTCTCCATAAGCATAATAATGCTATAGAGCTTGTTGGTGTTCAAAGTGTTAAAGAGATGTTTAAGGAATTATACAAATGATACTTATTGTAAAGGCTCATGTAATCACTTCTAATCAGAACCATAACATTTTCTTGTTTGGCCTCAAACACAATCCTTTGAGATCTGTGTGTGTGTGTATACATATATGTATGTATGAAGTATGCAGTAAATAATCTCTACTATGGTTCAAAAAAGCCTCGTCTGGGCAATGACTGTGAGCCAGACAAAACTGAAAAGAATTAAAACAGCCAGAGCTTTCCCTCCTCTCAAGCTGACAGATCTTATGCACTTGAAGAACAGCCTTTTCTTTTTCCCACTCCCTCATCTTTGAAGACCAGTGATCTATTTCATCTGCCTCAAACAAAGGACTCTTGAAAGATGTTCTCTTAAATTTATTTTCTCAGCCCTGGGGCATACAATTACTGCTGTTCACTCATGCTTTGCCTATTTAGATATTGGAAGGATACATGTACTTTCTGTCACTGGTACAGCATTCCCAGGACAGGCAGCATGTTCCCGATTCAGGCTCTGCCCACCACTGCCTGTGGAGTCAGCAAGCCAAACCTCGTTTAGGTGCTTACAGAAACAAATGGTATCTTTACTAAGCTGATACCTGACCAGTGTGCTGTCTCTCAGGTTCTGATCTGTGCTCACTGAGATGGGAAAATGTAGTAGGAAACTGCATAAGAACCCTGAATGCTGCCTTTGACATTGCAGCTAGCTCCCCCAGCAGCATTCCTCAGGGAGCACATGATCGGCATGTGTAAATCCCCGTGACTCAAAAGATAAAATGCTTCGCTAGCCCAGGCAAAAAAGGTTACAAGTGTAACTTCGGACAGGATTCAGAGAAGCACTCAGGTGTTCTTTGCTTTACAAGCACTGTAGGATAACGGAACAGGACACACAACAGAGACAGGATCTATTGAAAGCTGCCCATCCTAGCTGTGTATTCAATTCCCTATGTCATGGGAGAGGGAAAGAAGTGGTTGTTAGCTCAAGTCTGGCAGCAACGCAGTTGTAACCTGTACTGCTGTTTGGATTTGCTCTGTGCAGGATGAAAACATTACAATGAAACTCATTTTAAATGCAGGAGTCCAGCTTGAGAGACCGGTGCAAAAATCCTTGTTAAAACAGTCACTCAATGTCGATTTTATTCCATCACGTTGCAGCAGTATGGTTACAATCGGTGATTCAATACACACTTCAGCGCCTTGTAGGAAAATACACCGTGGGCTGGCTGCCTGTTTGCGAGCGTCCATCCTCTGCTGAAGCCTCAGTTCTCTGGCCCAGTCCCAGAGCTGATTTCACACTAACGTGGCGAGAGCCTGGACGCTGTGGGAGCCTTCAGCGGTCCTGTGCACGGCGTGGTGGTTTCTGACACTTCTGTCTCTCACGCTGCCCTTGGGGCTGTGCTGAGCCTTGGCCGCGTGGCTCTGGAAGGCCCGGACGGTGCGGATAGCAAGGATGCAGAGCACAAAGCTGGCAAAGTACAGGCAGGAAGCGACGACCCCGAAGAGGCCGACGGCGGCGTCGCCGCCCTGGACGTCACAGTTCATGGAGGTGTAGCCACGGCGCGCGTAGAGCCGCTCGCGCCGCCTGCACACCTCGGTGGCGTTCACCTGCCTGACGAAGTGCAGGTAGAGCCCCACGGCCGCCAGGTACGCCAGGCCAGCCAGCAGGCTGAAGGCACATTCGCCCACCAGCAGCCCTGGCCGGAGCTGCTGGATGGGTTTGGCCCCCACGACGAGGAAGACGAGGGTGAGCGCGGCCGCTGTTAAGCTGAAGGCCACTCCGCCGTACACGCAAGGGGCTCTCATCTGGGTGAACTGCATGTCCAGCTCCCGCACCTCCCGCAGCTCCGTGCCCTCAAAGGGGCTGTAGGCCGAGTTCAGGTTGAAGGAGCCGAAGCCTCCGAGGGACGTGAAGCCTGCAACGGAGGCTTGGGAAGCGCCCACGCAAATCAGCACCAGGAGGTTAACTGTGATTTCCACAAACTTCAAAATGCCTGGAAGGAGCAGAAAGATGGGAATAGGTGTCAAAACCACATTTTGTGCAAACTGTGGGTGACAGAAGTACACCAAAATCATAGGCAGAGAGTACTAATACTGAGATAATCCTCTTGGCTACAGCTACAGAAAAGCACTTGGAAAGAAAAAAAAAAAAGAGAAGCCTGAACTCTCACGGGTACATTTTGGAGGCTGGGCAAATTACTTTTTTTAATTTGTCAGTGTGCTTGATAGATGGATCTTCATGCAGTGAAAAAAAATCCATAAAAATTTTACAGTGCTTGTGTTACTGCCAAGGCAAGCGCACAGTGATTATATTTTGGCCTGTAACTACTTGGCATAAACACACTGAGCAAGAAATATCCAGTATGAACAAAATGCTGAGGCTGAAGCTGACAAAAACCTAGAAGCTTCTAACGACTTGAAAAATTGTGCAAGTTACTTCAGTCCTTCAAAACACATTTACTACTTTAACTTACACCTTTTTTCTTTTTTTTCCTGTGAAGGTATTTGTTAATTTGAACTTACTATCTAGCCAGATGCAACTTCCACTTTATCTCCTTCAGAGACAAAAATCGCTTGTAACTCTGGAGTTTCTGATTGCGTAAAAAACCAAACCCCCCCCCCCCAAAAAAAAAAAAAAAAAAGAAGGAGGGGAAGGATGCAAAACCCACCTTGTATGCAGAAATAAATTAAGTGAATTTGATACTAGGTCATATGCACTTTCACACCCTGACCTTCAGAAGAAAGCCTTACAACTTCTGAGTTGACTCTTCACTTTTTCTTATGTTAGGCTACTAGTAATAGTAACCAAGTATCTTTAAGGGAAAAAATACAAACAAAACCCAGAACCAAAAAGGAGAAATTACTTATTTTTGTGGTAGCTGCCTCTCAGGAAGCTGCCTCATATTTGATAAATCTGATTATTCTGTGACAGCTCACTAGGGGTCAGACTAAGATTAGCAAACATGACGGATGTTGAAGCGTAGCACAGCTAGAGTTGCCTATTGGGGAAATGAAAACCCTTAGCGTGTCAGGCGTGTTGCTCCAGTTCTGAAGTTAATTACAGAATTGTAAATCTTATTATTCCATTGCTGTCTGACAGCCAAGAATGTAAGATGCTCGACACAGTGGTCCTATATTTGTCTTTAAAGTGGAGCAGGATCTGTGGTTTGCACACAGACTTTCATTTTATGCTACTAGTGCTGATCCAACATGGCATTTCCCTCTTGAGCAATGGCTCAGTTGTTGTCAAGGCTGTATGGGCTTGAAAAGGAAGAACTGAAGCAGGAACACAAGGGAATTAAACAAATTCCTCTCTTGTGTTGCCAGATGCTTCTAACCAAAGAAAGCCAGTGACAGCCACAATGAAGGATTATCAGATATTCCCATTCTGCCCCTTCTTACTCCCTCCACAGACAGCTAAGGTAATGACTCCTTTCCTGCTGCCACTTGCTCTGCACAGGAAGGTAGTGTTAGTTAGAGCAGACAAATTCTTCCCCTTGTTCAAGAAGAACCAAGTGAGCAGTTCTGTGTATGTGTTCTTCAGAGGTGATGCTGATTTCTGCATGGCAGTGTGCCCTTTCTTTGACCCTCCTGCACAACCATTTCTGTGAAGCAGGGCACTAACTGTGGTTACCAAATCTCTTCAGGAGGCTTCAAGTACTTCAAAGGAGGTATTTGTGGAGCTAAACGTAGAGAGAAATTTAAATTTTGGCCCTGGAGTTAGGATTTGGAACTTCTTGTACCCAATCCAGTAATGCAGCCAAAAGACTTGTCATTTTTAATAGGTAAAGAGTCATCACTTTACTAGGATTGTTCATAGTATTTTGAAAGAGTAGTAGCTGTGCAGAACATTAACTGGAACTCAGTCAGGTGGGGTTTCTTTTTGTCTGCTCAGTTGAGTTGTGTTTTATACCTTCCAAATACAGGGAGTCAACTTAGATCCTCAGGGCCCTTAGACAGTGTGACAGTGTTGGATGCAGGAGGGCACTTCCCTTTTTAAAGGCTGACTATTGATTTCATAGATGCTCCACCAGGAAAAAGTTTCTTACAAGTCTACATGGAGGAAAGACCATTTGATTAAGGGAAACATAAATTTTAAGTATGTTTGGCTACTTAGTAGTTGGGAATTCATGATCAGTCTGCTGCTGACTTCAGAATTTCCTTTTCATCTGTGTGTACTGAGGCCCCCTGACCTGCCAAGCATCAAGTTTTCCTCTACATCACCTTGCTAAGCTTTGGAAAAGGCAATTTTCTGTTCTCAAAGTAGTCATTGCCTGCTGCTAACCTCCCCACATTTATAACTGACCCCAATCCTCAATGATGCTGCTCCAAAACTTTCTATGTGTTCACACACAATCTGTATGCCACCCCTTAACTTTGCTGAGCTGATAATGGGAAGACAAATGTGTCAGTGCAGGTCTATTGTATTTTTAACCACAGTAGTAGGTGCTTTAAAGGCATGCCTGAAAAATTTCCTTAGACAGGGCTTTCAGGTTGGACAGGTTTTGTATGTACCTGCACAGTTGTGACACATGCCTGCTGTAGAATTGATTAGAGTGACTAAACAATGGAGAGAGGTTCAGCAGCAACTACTTCACCAATCACTTGTATAATTTGGATTAACTTGGATTTTTTAAAAGAAAGTGCAAGAACAAAGCCTCCTGTATTACAGACAATCTTAAAATGATAAGCAGTATGTAGAATGAATTACAGGTCTATGATGACAGCCAGCTGGGTTTACGAACGTAGCAGACAATTAGTGGAAATGCCTAAGACCTTGTATAATCATCAGGGCTTTGATGGAAATATTAAGCCTTTACAGTATGTTCCAACCCAGTAACCCCAAAGGCCTCTCTTGCAGCCTTAATCAGTGATAGTTACAAGCTGATACAAAATCCTACTAGTATAACAGGATAGAGACAGATTTGAGAATAAAAGGAATAAAAGGACCGGTAAGTTTTGAATCTTAGCTCTGTCAAGCTATGGTCACACACATCTTAGCAGTGACCTGTGTCAAGCAGTGTGCTTCTGGTGGAAAGGATTGAGTTACAAGCCATGCTTCCGAGTCTGCCCTGCCATTTCTGCTTTCACAGGCTAGTTAGCCATGTCATCTTGAAGTTACACCTGCAGAAACCAAAAGGTCTTCCTACAGGGAAGTTGCTTATCTCTACAGTGATTCCCTAATCCCATGCAACAATGAACACATTGCAAGATTTAAGTGTAAAATAACCAAAGGTCTGAACAGCTTGGAATTCTATTGGCTATTTTTTCCTTACTCAGGTTCAACATCTTTGGATTTACCTAAAATGTTACTCATTTGTATTAAAATCAGCACAGTCAACAGCTGGCTTTAGGAACTAACCCTTTCCTTACCAAATAAGCCCTGTCAGGGCTCCTGGATTGCTATTTCTTTCCTGTGCTTCTTTCGTGCACTGCTTTTCAGCACTGAAGGTGAGGAGAAGGGCTGCAAGTGGGTGTTGCCAGATATTTCCAGAGAACTGTTTCATTAGTTCCATAAAATCTAAATCTGCAGTGGATAGTAATTTTAATGTATCCTACTTGTTAATTTTGCTTCAATGCAGTTGTCTTTTGCTGTGAGTACACCTCCTGCTATAACCAATAATAGAACCTTCCAATTTATGTAGTATTATGTACTATTTATGTACTATTCACTTTTTCTTTCCCTTTATTTTCCTTGCTGGGATATTTCCATGGTATCAACCCATTGAGCAATGGTTTTATCTTCTGTCAAATGTGAGCTTGGCCATCCAGCAAAGCTGACAGGTGGGCTGGTTAAGGGTACAGACCCACAAGCAGCTGAATTTAACAGCTCCCACCCCTGGCTGGGCAGTCACTACTTTTCTCCCTTACCTCCACATTAGGCCCTTCTAAGAGTTGTTCAAATAAACTAAAATAGCAGGAAACTATTTAACTCTTTTCTTTTGTGCTGCTGGTTTTGTTCTGCAACTTTAGCATCTTGAGGTGACTCACGGCATCTGATGAGCATGAGTTTACTGGCATGAGTTTAGCAAGGGCAGTAACAGCCAGGACCAGAGAAGGACCAGAATCTCCCCTTCTCAGGTGAGGTGAGCTGTTAAATCCACCTGCTCTGCCTCGTAAGACCACACTGTGGCTGGATGTGTGGTACCCAGCAACTCAGCTGTGCACTCAAGTCTCGTGTCAGAAGCGCAAAGAGGAATTTCCATCCAGGCACTGTGGCAGGACAGCTCTGATGTTCAGGTGTGGGGGTTGTGGTGTGTGTAACATGACTACATAAAGTACAATGGTCAATTCTTGTTTGTTCCTTTGTTTCTGCCATAAATGAATTTGCAGGACAGACAGTTCTGGCTTTTTCTGTTGAACTCCCCTGACCCTGTGAGGGCCATACTAATGGAAAGGCCTTCAAAGTGTCTCCCTCCACTGTATCTGAGACAGAAATCACCTTCTTCCTCTGCTGAATGCACATGGACTCCTCCTCCTGTCTCTTTTTGTCTCATTTGCTCCTCTTCAATGAACACCACTTCCAGAATATTCTATGTCTACCATTCTCCATTTTGGCTTGCCTTCTCCCTCTGCTTCCTTTGCAGACCACATACCACTGGGACCAGCAGGACCCAGACATGGACTCCTCCTCCTGTCTTTTTTTGTCTCATTTGCTCCTCTTCAGTGAACATCACTGTGTACTTCCAGAATATTCTATGTCTACCATTCTCCATTTTGGCTTGCTTTCTCCCTCTGCTTCCTTTGCAGACCACATACCACTGGGACCAGCAGGACCCAGGGGCAGCCTAGCCCCAGGAGTAATGTGGCTGCCACCCTTGGACACCTGGGTCCCAGTGGCAGGGCTGGTGACAGACAGGTTAGTGGTACCCATGTCACATCCCATTAGGGGTCGCTACAGGAGAAGGGAAGAGAGGAGTCAGAAGCTACAACACACATGAAAAATCTTTCTCCAAGCCTTTTTCACTGCAAGTTGTATTTTGTTTCCTTTCCT